GCGTGAGACATCCTCGGAAGTTTGGGTTCCAACGCGCCACGACATGTGATTATCTAAACGGTCTCGCCTGGGACATCTTCACCACTCCGGCGCATTCCGCTTGATACATGCTCCTCATTCTGCGATCCGATATGCTTTGAGTCGAGGTGATCTGGCCACCATCGCATGAGCCATGCCTCACACTTCTGGATTCCGAGATGCCCTGCCCAATTGTAATCCAGCCACTTTCGCCGGATGCATCCTCGTAATTCTATATTCCGAAGCGCCCTCGGCTGAGGTGGACATACCACTTTTGCTTCAGATATCCTCACAAATCTGACCTCGGAGGTGCTCTGCCCCATGGTGGTTTGGCCACTTTCGCCTGTAACATCCCCACAACTGTGGCTGCCGAGACGTCCAGGGTTGAGGTGTTCAGGCCACTTTCGCGTCAGACATCCTCGCAAGTCTGACCGCGGAGTTGCCCTGTCCCCAACCCCATGGTGGTCAGGCCACTTTCGCCTGCTGCATCCTCGCAACTGTGGGTTCTGGGATGCCCTGAGCTCAGATATTCGCGCCATGTTCGCTTGAGACATCCTCGCAATGCTGACCTCAGATATTCCCTCTCCCACATTGTGCTGGCCAGTTCCGCCTCGACAAACTCACAGTGTTGACCTGGAATGTGCCCTGCCTTGAAGTAGTCTGACCCTGGATCTGCCACGAGATGCGGTGTTCAGGCCTCTTTCGCCTGAGACGCCCTCGCACCTCTAACTTCGGAGGTGCCTTACCCCATGGCGGTCCGGCCACTTTCGCCTGCGACATCCTCGCAACAGTGGCTCCCGAGACGCTTAAAGCTGACCTGCTCAGGCCATTTTCGCATGAGACATCCTCGTAACTCGGTTCCGAGATGCCCTGAGCTGAATGGTCAGGCCACTTTCGCCTTAGACATCCTAAGAGATCTGACCTCGGATATGCCCTGCCCCAGGTTGGTTCGGCCACTGTCGCCTGCGACCTTCGCAGGGCCTGCACTACCACGCGGATCATCGTGTGCGGCGGGAGAGGCTCGGACCCCTGCGGGACTCCGTCCGCAACAGAGGCAATCACAAAACTCACGCTGATCAGGCGGGCCGCCCCAGAGCCGGCGCCGTCGCCGTCGTCGTCGCGGCGGGGGCCTGACAACCAGCCGATAAACCGATAAACCGGTAAACCGACATGCGGCGCAAGGATCGACTCCTCAGGGTTGTCCCCAGCGGTCTCAGACCAGCCAGTCACCCGATGAGCCGATAAACCGATCAACCGATAAACCGACGAAGAGAGGGAGAGCGCGCCGGCCATCGTCTCTATGTTCGCGGATAAAGGTTATCGTTTTTTTCCCAACCATCCTGTGGTGTTGGGTCCTCGTTTTGAAGAGACGGTGCCCCGCGTCTCCTCCCGCTGCCCCCTCCTCCCCCTCCTCCCTCCTCCCTGCGTTTCACCCACCCAGTACAGCGTTTCGTGGCCCCATAGGGAGCTCCACCGAAGGCCCCAGTGGCAGGGTTCGCATGGCGGCCCCGCGTTTTGGCGCTCCCCTCACACGGTTCGTAGCCCCATAGGGAGCCCCACCGAAAAAGCCCCAGTGGCAGGGTTCGCATGGCGGCCCCGCACCATTTTGGCGCACCCCTCACGGTTCGTGGCCCCATAGGGAGCTCCACCGAAGGCCCCAGTGGCAGGGTTCGCATGGCGGCCCCGCGCCAGTTTGGTGCACCCCTCACTCGGTTCGTGGCCCCATGGGGAGCTCCACCGAAAGGCCCCAGTGGCAGGGTTCGCATGGCGGCCCCGCGCCATTTTGGCGCACCCCTCGCACGGTTTGTGGCCCCATAGGGGGCTCCACCGAAGGCCCCAGAGGCAGGGTTCGCATGGCGGCCCCGCGCCAGTTTGGTGCACCCCTCACACGGTTCGTGGCCCCGTAAGGAATTCCACCGAAGGCCCCAGTGGCAGGGTTCGCATGGCGGCCCCGCCCCAGTTTGGTGCACCCCTCACTCGGTTCGTGGCCCCATAGGGAGCTCCACCGAAGGCCCCAGTGGCAGGGTTCGCATGGCGGCCCCGCACCATTTTGGCGCACCCCTCGCACGGTTCGTGGCCCCATAGGGGGCTCCACCGAACGCCCCAGTGGCAGGGTTCGCATGGCGGCCCCGCGCCAGTTTGGTGCACCCCTCACACGCTTCGCCCCATGGGGAGCTCCACCGAAAGCCTCAGTGGCAGGGTTCGCATGGCGGCCCCGCACCATTTTGGCGCACCTCTCACACGGTTCGTGGCCCCATAGGGAGTTCCACCGAACGCCCCAGTGGCAGGGTTCGCATGGCGGCCCCGCGCCAGTTTGGTGCACCCCTCACACGGTTCGTGGCCCCATAGGGAGCTCCACCGAAGGCCCCAGTGGCAGGGTTCGCATGGCGGCCCCGCACCATTTTGGCGCACCCCTCACGCGGTTCGTGGCCCCATAGGGAGCTCCACCGAAGGCCCCAGTGGCAGGGTTCGCATGGCGGCCCCGCGCCAGTTTGGTGCACCCCTCACACGGTTCGTGGCCCCATGAGGAATTCCCCTTGTTTCGTCCCACCTGCCCTGCGGTTTTCACACTTGCGTATGGTTGGGTCCGTCGCCAGGATAATTTTTGGTTGAGAGACCGATCCACCGATCAACCGATTAGATTATAGTGGTTTTCGGTTGATCGGTTTGTAAACCGATCAACCGATTAGTTTTTATCGGTTTATCGGTCGGATGGATTTTTGGAGGCCGTTGCCGCTGCACTCAGATCTTGGCTCTAGCGCCCGCGCCCAGCCAAACCCGAGAAGCAGAGCCTCTCCGCGCAAGAATGTCGGGCCCGTCTCTTTACCTGGGAGGATCTCGGCTCATCGTCATGTACAACGGCTGCGTTCTGGGGGACGTTCCAGCGCCTGCTAGGCACGTCCCTGCGGCAGACTCGCTGACACAGAATTGGCACGAGGATTCCGCGGGGTGGTGCTCCGCGGACGACACGGTCGCGAGCAACACCGAGATCAGCTTGCAGGCGACCTTGCCGCGAGATCCGCACGAGGACACGAGGCGTGAAAATGACCACAGCCACTGCTTTTCTTTTGTTGCCGCCTTCCAGCCCGCAGAAACGAAGCAGTGGTGGTGGTCATTTCCGTGGAGCTTGGCACCAGGAAATGACCACAACCACTGCTTCTTTTTCGGCCGGCTGGAAGGCGGCGCAAACAAGAAGCAGTGGCTGTGTCGGAGGGCACCAACTATACACCAACACCGATCCTGGCCCAGGATCACCCTGGGCCCAGGATCGGTGTATATGCCTTCGTGCGCAAGGCAGGAGGGCGTATACACCGATCCTGGGCCCAGGGTGATCCTGGCCAGGATCGGTGTTGGTGTATAGTTGGTGCTTTCCTACTGTGGTCAATTTCCCCTCCCGCACGAGGAGCAGCCAGAGGCCGCGCCCACCGCCTGCTACCGCCTCGACGCCGGCGGCGGCGCCGGGGAGCGCTCGGCGACGCGCCGCTCCTGCCGCTCGCCGGGCCCCGCCGCCTCCTCGGCGGGCCTGCCCCGCGAGGCCGCGCCGCCCTCGGGTGCAGTCGGGCCTGTGCCTCTGCAGGGGAGCTTTCCCAAAAATCATCCTGGCGAAAGGCCCCCCCCCAAAAAAAAGCGAAAGGCCCAACCGTACGCCAGTGTGAGAACCCGCAAGGCAGGTGGGACGAAGCAAGGGGACTCTCCTATGGGGGCCAGGAACCGTGTGAGGGGGTGCGCCAAAATGGGGCGGGGGCCGCCCTGCGAGCCCTGCCACTGGGGCCTTCGGTGGAGCCCTCTATGGGGCCACGAACCGTGTGAGGGGTGCGCCAAGATGAAGCGGGGCCACCATGCGAACCCTGCCACTGGGGCCTTCGGTGGAGCCCTCTATGGGGTCACGAAACATGTGAGGGGTGCGCCAAATGGGGCGGGGCCGCCATGCGAACCCTGCCACTGAGGCCTTCGGCGGAGCTCCCTATGGGGCCACGAACCGTGTGACGGGTGCGCCAAAATGGCGCGGGGCCGCCATGCGAACCCTGCCACGGGGGCCTTCGGTGGAGCTCCCTGTGGGGCCACGAAACGCTGTATTGGGTGGGTGAAACGCAGGGAGGAGGGAGGAAGAAGAAGAAGAGGAGGAGGAGGAGGAGGAGGAGGAGGAGGAGGAGGAGGAGGAGGAGGAGGAGGAGGAGGAGGAGGAGGAGGAGAGGAGGAGGAGGAGGAGGAGGAGAGAGGAGGAGGAGGAGGAGGAGGAGGAGGAGGAGGAGGAGGAGGAGGAGGAGGAGGAGTAGGAGGAGGGGGAGGAGGGAAGGAAGGAAGGAAGGAGGAACGCGGGGCACCGTCTCCTCAAAACGAGGACCCAGCACCACAGGATGGTTGGGCACAAGAGTAGCAACAAAAATAGTGGGGGGACTCTTTTTGGAGCCCCTTTTTTGGCCATTCTTGCATATTTTTGGAGTACCTTCTTCTTTTTTTTCGTCGATCATCCCCCTGCAGGTCGCCCGACTCTCGGGCCCGCGCGCCGCGCCGCGCGGCGGCGGCGTCCGCGCAGCGCCCCCGGGCGGCCCCGCCGGCGCAGGGCGCGGCGAGCGGGCGGGCGCGCCGCCCCCGGGGGAGCCGCCGCGCGCGCCGCAGGCCACGGCGGCGGCGGCGGGGCGGGCGCGGCGAGCGAGGCACGCCAGGAAGCGGTGGTGCTCCAGCCTCGACTACTCCAGATTTCGTGACAAGAGGGAGGGGGTCTGGGCCCTCCAAGACAAGCCATTTCAGGCCTCCCCCGTGGGAGAACCCTCCAAAGCATCGTCCCCGGACCCCCCAGGCCCTCCAAGATAGCCTGGAAGAGACCCCCCCCCGAAATGAGACCCCCCTCCCTTTATTACGAAGTCTGGGGTAGACGTAAGAATGACCTGTCGCCGGAGTGACCTTTGGTGCGGGCACGGATGGGCCCCCAGATGGTTGGAGGCGAGGCAGGAGCAGCGTCTGGCGCACCCAGGTTTGGTCCCCCCGCGGCCCCCAGAGAGCAGCGCACCAAAGGTCACTCTGGCCCACAGGGTCACTCTTGCGTGTAGCCGACAACCTACTTTGGCCTTTGATCACCAGGAAGAGGTTCGAGCGCCCGAGGAAGTGCCGAAGCGCAGGGGTTTGCACGCGTCGGGCCCCGGGAGACGCTCGCCCGACGCCGTTTCGGCGCGGTTTCGACACTCTTTTGACACTTTTCCGGGTGCTCGAAATCATTTCTGGGATGCGGTCCTTTTAAGTAGGACGGGAACAACATAAACCAGGAACATGATCGAGAAGAGCTCGAGCCTGGCGGCTCCCGGCAAGATCACGACCATGATGGTGAGCAACCTGCCCTCGAGGCTCCAGCGGTCGGAGCTCATGGACATGCTTGACGGGTCTGGCTTCGACGGTGTGTACGATTTCTGTTATGTGCCGTCCGACTTCCACTCTGGCATGAACAACGGGCACGCCTTCATCAACTTTCACGACCATGGCACAGCAGTGCGATTCAAGGAGGCATGGCACGCCGCCGCACCTTTCCGAGACTACTCCGACAGCCAGACGCTGAGGGTAGTTCCTGCGCGCATCCAGGGCCTCAGGGCCAACGCCAAGATGGCAAGTGCGAGGACGAACGTGCGCAACCCCAAACACCATGGGCTTGTTTTCACCAAGGATCAGTCTGTCAACGGCCAGTCGGGACTGGCCGTGAAGGACTGCCGGTGAGAGGCAGCCACACGAAATAGAAACAGCTTCATAAACATCAGCTGTCGGAGCTCCGCATCTCGTGAGAGTCGGCTTCTAGCAGTATCAGCCGTGTTCGCGGAGGTTGCACTGCATCTTCGCTTTTTTGCCACGGACCCTGTTCGAGTCAGAACAGAATGGTGAGCACAGGCGCGTTGCCTTCTGTTCGAGCCATCGCGATTTTTTGGCACAGTGCCCGCGCACTTCTGGCCAGGCCACGGCCCGCAGGAGCCGCTGACCTCGGCGGCGACGCCGAGCAGGCAAGGCCGCGTTCTCAACGGAGGAAGCACTGCGGGCCACTCCTGGCAGCTGCGCGCAGGGCCGCGCACAATTTTTAACAGATGTGTTCGCAGGCCTGGCGCATTGTCCTGCCACCTTCTCTGACAACGATCCGAAATATTATCACCAATACCGAAGTCTAGGATCATCTTCCCCCTGTGGAGGCAAACCCCTTGTGTTGGTGTTGGTGCCAATTTCCAGGCCTCCAACACGCACTTCTGGCCAGGCCACGGCCCGCATGAGCCGCCGAACTCGGCGGAGACGCCGAGCCGGCAAGGCCGCCCTCCACGGAGGGAGCACTGCGGACCACTCCTGGCAGCTGCGCGCGAGGCCGCGCACGATTATACGGATGTGTTTGCAGGCCCAGCGCATTATCCTGCCACCTTTTCTGACAACGATCCGGTCTACGGTAGGTTTGCGTCGTGTCGACCGGCGGCGACCCCAGCGTGGGCGTTCAAGGTTGAACGCCGCCGGCGACCCAGAATCGGTCGATGTTGAAGGGTCGCACGTTTCGGAAAGGGCCGATCGTTCAAGGTTGAACGATCTCTGCGGTGTCAAAAACCAACGCTGGGGTCGGCACGACACGAACCCGCCGTAGTTGCTCTGGGTCTTCGCAGGCAGGAGACATCTGCGTATGCACCCTAGACCTTTGGAGGGGACATCTGTGTATACAGTGCCGTTTTTAATGCATGCTCCGCGTGCGGATCATGTATTAAAGATGCATTAAAGTCAACGACGAGTTCATGCATGCACTTATTCATACATTAGTCATGTATTAAACGTCATTTTTTGTGTAATCCTATGAATTAAAGAAAAAACTGCCCTGTAGACCTCTGTATGGGGACATCTGTGTAAGCACCCAGATCTCTGGATCTGGGAGCCTCCCGCCCGGACGCGAGCACTCTGCCAGTTTCTTGTGCGCAGCGCACGGCCCTCGTGGATGGCTCGCGGAGCGGGCGCAGCCCATCGGCGGTTTCGGTTGCCGTCGCAAGCTTCGAGTGAAGATGCCCGTCGTCCTGCAGGGGCTCCCGCCTCTGCCGCCGCCCCATTTTTTCCGGGAGTGAGATGACGAGGGGGAGGCGGATGATGATGAGGCGGAGGAGGACGAGGACGAGGAGGAGGACGGGAGAGGGAGGGAGGAGGAGGAGGAGGAGGAGGACAGGGTTTTGCACACACCTGGGGCCCTTTTGGGTTTACAGTGGGGATGTCTAGTGAGGCAAGTGGTTTCCACGGCCGTCCCGCGCTTTGTGACTTCCTTTGGAGTCTGGCCAGATCCTCGGGTTCTTTGCCACCGCCTTCTGGACCACGCGCAAGTTCTACTTTGGGCACTTCTTGTCGCCAGCCTGCGTTCTCACAGCCAGTGGGCGCACCAGGCCAGCGGAACAATTTTGAGCGCTGGTCCCAGCAGCGGCCACTGTCTATCGGCGGTTCCGTCGGTTGGGTGGGCCATCCCTACGGGGACTGCGGGGACAGCTTTTGCTAGCATCGTTTCAACCCGCTCGTGTGAACCGGCCAAGGCCAGCTCGAGCCCTCGCTTCTGTCCGCTACAATCTGAAAAAGGAATCGGTCAGGCGTCGCAAACGGTTTGAAAGCCCATTGCCAGGAATTTTGATTTGTTATTTCTATCGTTCGTCGCGTGGCCGCAGATCTGCGTACACGAGTGCTGTTCTACTTACTGCGGAGGCGATCGTTTGATTCCCTCCTCTCTGCGTGGACACACTCGGGCACTCAGCCAGATCTGTGCGTGCGAGGCGGTTGCGCCTCTGGCACGAGACCCTGCTAGCACATGCGTGTTCTTCTGCTTACCGCGGAGGCGATCCTTTGCTTCGCCCCCCTTTGCAGAGACACCCTCGAGCAATCGACCAGATACAGTCAAAAACCCTCCCAAGGTCCCGCGACTTTGCTCGGGGGACCCTTGCGTCCTTGCTCTTGCTTGCTCTTGCGTCCCTGGGGTTGTCGTCGTCCGCCGGCCCAAAAACCCCAACTTCGGCTTCCAAGGGTCTTGCGTCCTTACCGCGCGTCCTTATTAGGGCTTTCGACTGTGTGCGGGTGCGAGGCGGCTGCGCCGCTCCCGCCCCTGCTGGCGCCCGGGGGGGGGGGGCGGCCTGGCCTGGGCAGGTACGCGGCGCCCGAGATGTGCGGCATGCCCTCCAAGTGCGATCGGGGCAGGGCGAGGAGCAGGAGGAGGAGGGGGAGGAGGAGGACGAAGTGGACAGAGGAACACGACGAGGAGAGCCAGCGAGGAGGATGAGGATGAGGGAGGAGGGAAGGGGAGGAGGAAGGACTCGGAAGAGGGGGAGGATGAGAAGCAGGAGGAGGAGGAGAAGCATGAGGAGGCGGTTAGGTCACGATTTTATTTCCCTGAAGAAGGTCGAGAGCCACTTGGTGTAGGAGGAAATGACAGAAAAGTAGGAGGACGGGGATGAGGATGTGGACAATGGTGGTGGTGCTGATGATGGTGGTGGTGATGATGACGACGATGTGGTGATGATGACGACGATGATCATGATGATGACATGACGATGACGATGACGATGCCGATGCCGATGCCGACGACGACCATGACGATGACGATGACGATGACGATGACGATGACGATGACGGACGACGACGACGACGACGACGACGATGATGATGATGATGATGATGATGATGATGATGATGATGATGATGATGATTATTGTGGTGGTGGTGGTGTTGACGATGATGATGATGATGATGATGATGATGATGATGATGATGATGATGATGATGATGATGATGTTTCCGCTATGTGGTCGCCGTCGCCGTCTCGTCGCCGCCTGGATTGCATGGCATATATTGCACCGCATATATTGCACCGCACAGGTTGCAGCACAGAGATAGCATCGCACATATTGCACAGTACATACATCACACCTATTGCGCAACACGTATTGCACAGCATATTGGACCACATAGGCTGCACAATGTTGACTGCACACCACGTATATTGCACCGCATATACTGATTGCACGACATAGAGTGCGCACCACATATTGCACCGCATTTGGTACCGCACAGTTTTCATCGCGTATATAGCACCATAAATATTGCAACACATAGATGGCACAACATATATGGCACATGATATACTGCACCACGTATATCGCACTACGAAATGGTACCACATATATTTCACAACGCAGACTGCTAGACGCACACCGTTTGGGGTCCACGCTGTCTAACACTAATTTAACATTCAAAGCCTTCGGTGCATCCCGCTGTGATCGGTGTGCACCATAGGTCTCTCGGATGTTCGTAGGGATGTCGCGGGAGGCCTCTCCGGAGCCTCTTGGGGGCAGCTTTGAGGCCTCTCGGGGGACGTTTTGGGGCCTCTTGAGGCCTCTTCGGGGCCTCCTGGGGGTCTCTCGGGGCCTCTTGGGGGCCTTTCGCGGCCTCCTCGGGGCCTCCTGGGGGCCTCTTGGGGCGGAAGACTCGGATTTTCGGTTCGTGTTCCCCTTCTTGGGCGCTTCCAGGGGCTGCTTTTGGGCCCCCTTGGGCCGTCTTGGAGCCCTCTTGGGCTGTGTTGGGGCCCTCCTGGAGGCCTCTCGTCTTGAAGGGGTCTCTTGGGCCGTCTTGGAGCGTCGGGGGCTCAAAATCGAGGACCCCAACATCATGTAAATCTTTGTGGGAAATCGGTGATTTGGCCTCTCGGTGCCCTCTTGGGAAGGCTCTTAGGGCTCTCTTGGAGCGTCTAGGAGGCCTCTTGGGCCGTCTTGGGTTCATCTTGGGCGTCTTGGTGCGATCTTTGGGCGTCTCGGGGCCCTCTTGGGGCTTCTTGGAGTGTTGCAAAATCATGCGACAAGATGCCCTGGACTCGGCCTCTCAAAGACTCCTCAGGATAGAGGACTGGTTCTTAAGGGATTGGGCAAAGGACTGGGAGACACGCCCACTCCGTGCCAAGAGGCACGGTGGCGGATTACGATTACTGTTTTTATTGTTATGGTGATGGTGATGACGATGATAATGATGATGGTGATGATGATGATGATGGTGACGCTGATGATGATGATGATGATGATGATGATGATGATGATGATGATGATGATGATGATGATGATGATGATGATGATGATGATGATGATGACGATGACGATGGTGATGGTGATGATGATGCCGATGATGCTGATGCTGCTGATGATGATGTGCTGATGATGCTGCTGCTGCTGATGATGCTGATGCTGATGAGGATGAGGATGATGAGGATGATGATGATGATGATGAGGAGGAGGAGGAGGAGGAGGAGGAGGAGGATGAGGAGTAGGATGGGGATGACGACGATGACGATGGGGGGCGGCGTCGATGGATGATGGTGGAGATCATGACCATGACGTTGATGATGCGCCAGCGGTGGCGGAGCTGTTGCCGGCGCTGCCGGTGGCGGCGGTGCGGAGGGCGACGGTGACGGGCAGCGGTGGCGCGGGCCGCCCTCGTGGGTTGCCCCTGGGCCCCCGGGCCCGGCCGCTGCGCGGGCGGGAGGTGCGGCCTGGAGTCGGACATCTTCTCCCTGGGGCTCCTCACGTGCCCTGCCCTGCCCGGCGCCTGCGGCCGGCCCTCCGCCCGGCGCCTGACAGTTTTTTGTGCGCTTTGACCCTCTCTCGCCGCACCCCGCCGCCCAAGCACCGCCCGCCTCCCGCCCCCCTCGCCCTCGCTCCAGCCGCCCTCCCTTCCCTCTTTCTCGCCGCCCGCTCTCCCTCGCTGCCTCGCTCCCTTCCTCGCGCCCTCGCTCGCTCCCTCTTTCCTCTTCGCTCCCTCCTCGGACCCCCTCCCTCCTCTTGGGCAAGATGGGCGAGGGACATCTTCTCTTCCCCTCTCCCCCCTCCTCGCTCCGGGTCGGGGACGCCAACGGCGCCCCCTCCGGGCCGGGCATCGACCAGGGCCGCGCCATCTCCAGGGCCCAGGACCAGTGCCGTAAAACCTCCCAGGGAGGCCAGCGGGGGCGCACGTCCACCGATCCTGGGCCCAGGGACCGTTCTTGCGCCAGGGAGGGGGGTCCAGCGCATATCCAAGAAATCCGCGCGGAGCGCCAACAGTTTTTTTTATGCCGTTATCTCTTCCTCAACCCCCGCGGCCGGCGGGCTCGGCCCGGAGGTACGAGCTGATGTCCAACGAGCGTCAGCCCCTGCTGCGAAGCGCCCCAAGAGGCCAGCTGGCCGCGGCGGGCGCTTTGGCCTCCCCCCCTGCCTGGCGCCGCCGGGGCAGTCACACGGTGAGAGCCCTGGGTGCCCTTCATGCCCATGGAGCTGGAGCAGCAGGCGCGCACCAGTGTTGGGCCCGGCCTACTATTTTCGAATATCCCCCCTGTAGAGGGACAGGCCCGACCTGAGACCAGTGAGGGTCCACGTCGCCTGTGCCCGCTCGCGACTCCTGAGCCTCCACTGGTGAATGACTGCTGGTCCTCATTGAAGGGCAGTTTAGGCAGGGTTCACGTGTGGCTGCCTACTTCTCCATCCACCCTCCTTCTCGCACGAGGGGAAGAAACACACCAACACAAGTCATCGTCGATGTCCCAGAAAACATGGGAAGCTATGGGAAGTGTTGGGGGGGGAGACGAACATCAACAAAAGATGGAACATATGGGGAATCCTGTGATTTGTGTGTGTGTGTGTGTAATTATTCAATCGCTTCGCTCATTCCGCCGGCCCTGGAGCCCTCTTTAGGGCCTCTTGGGGGCCTCTTGGGGACCTCTCGGGAGTCTCTCGGGGCTCCTCGGCGGCGTCTTGGGGGCCCCCGGGGCCTCTTGGGGGGCTCTTGGGGGCCCCTTTGGGGCGGGAGGGGGGGATAGTCGATTGCGGCTCCCCCCCCTTCGGAGGCCACACTCCTCGCGAGGGGTGCCGAACATGTGTGTCATTCTCTGTGTGTCCCTGGGCCCCTATGAATGCACCCCTCCCTCTCGTGCGAGGGCCGCGCACGAGGAGGCGGCGGAGGAGGCGGAGGAGGCGGAGGAGGAGGCGGAGGAGGAGGACGCGGAGGAGGAGGAGGAAGAGGAGGAGGAGGAGGAGGAGGATGAGGAGGGAGGAGGAGGAGGAGGAGGAGAGGAGGAGGAGGAGGAGGAGGATGAGGAGGAGGAGGAGAAGGAGGAGGCGGAGGAGGAGGAGGAGGAGGAGGAGGAGGAGGAGGAGGAGGAGGAGGAGGAGGAGGAGGAGGAGGAGGAGGCGGAGGAGGCGGAGGAGGCGGAGGAGGCGGAGGAGAAGGAGGAGAGGGCGGAGGCGGAGGAGGCGGAGGAGGCGGAGGCGGAGGAGGAGGAGGAGGAGGAGGAGGCGGAGGAGGAGGAGGAGGAGGAGGACAACGAGGACGAGGGCAGAGGCTGCAAAATCGCCCCTTGGAGCCCTCCTGGGACTTTCTCGGGGGATCTTGGTGTCCTCTTGGGATTGTTTTGGGGGGTCTTGGTTCTCTCTTGGGGCCCTCTTGGAGCCCTGTAGTGCCTCTTGGGGCCATCTAGGAGACCATCGATCAAAGGGAGGGGCCAAATGTTGCCCCCTCCTATGGGCTGTCAAAATCGCCTCTTTGCGGCGCTCTTGGGCCGCTCTTGGGGCCGTCTGGGGGGCCTCTTGGGCCCCCTTGGGCCTCTCTTTGGGCATCTTGGGGCCATCTTGAGGCCTCAAATCCGCATCGGAAGCAACCAGGCGAGAAGGCAACACTATTCATTTTCTTGAAAGTATTTTGGCCCCTTGGGAGGGTCCTGAGCGGCTCCGAAATCACTAGGAGCCGTCCTGTGGCCCTCGTCGAGCCTCTCGCAAGCCTGTCGGAAGCTGTCTTGAACCATCGTTGGCCATTTTGAGCCCTCTTGGAGGCCCTCTTGGAGCATCGGAGGCCCCCTTGGAGCCTTCTTGGGCGAAAAAGGCCCCCGCCCCCCCCAACACACACCACGGACCCCCCTCCCCCTTAAACAAAACACCCCAGGCAGGGGAGGGGGAGGGCCCCCTTCCCGAGGGAAGCAAAGGTTTGGAAGAGGAGAGAAGAACTCCTGGGAATGGAGGATGGAGGAGGGAGGAGGGAGGAGTGAGGAGGTTCTGGTAATTCGATTGAGAATTCTATGCAGTGTATGTATGTGTGTATGTATGTATGTATGTATGTATGTATGTATGTATGTATGTATGTATGTATGTATATATATACTTATCCTCTGATTTACCAGAACCTCCTCCCTCCTCCCTCCTCCCTCCTCCCTCCTCCGCTAGACCACTTTAACCCAAAGGGCCGGTGGGATTCGAAGCAGAGACATGACGCATGTGCGAACGAATAGAGGCAGAGACAATTACAGAGACGCGGACATGGACAGGAGCCTCTATTCTATTGGTGCAATCACATTTTGTTGCATCCTCCTTCCAGAACCTTGCAAACAGCAACTGCCACCTTGGGGGGTGCATCCTTCTCTTCTACGTCCACTCCTTCGTTTTCTATCTCGCCTTCTCCTGCGAGCCTGGCGCAAGTCCCAGGCACCTGATGCAAGCGGTTTTGGTGCGGTCTTGCGCATGCCCCCCCCCAGTGCCCCTTCTAGCTGTTGGTGACGCGTGCCAGCTTGGGCTTGTGAGCAGTCTTCACGTCGCCAAAATGTTCAGAGTGCGAGTGCCCGTCGAAGTGTACCTGCCTCCGCACGCTTAACTCTCACCATTCTAGCTGTGGGTGACGCGTGCCAGCTTGGTCCTGTAAGCAGTCTTCTCGGCGCCCAAATCCGCCTCAGCACGCTTGACTCTCACCTTGATCAGACGATGAACTGCGACGCGCAGGGGGGGGGCGGGGCGAGACGGGGTCGCCCTCGCAGGCGGACCCGGAAGGAGGAGGAGGAGGAGGAGGAGGAGGGCGGAGGAAGAGGAGGAGGAGGGTCTCCCCACCCGCCTTCGCCTCGCGCCGCGAGCGCAGGCTTCTCCAACAACATCCTCAGGGCCGGAACGGTCCCTCAGGACCTGTTCGCCACGCTGCAGAAGGCGCACAGGGGTCCCTCGGGAAGGCGGCGCACGGGGAGGCCGCCGAGAGGCACGCGGTCGGCCAGTGGAGTGGCCTGGTATTTTGGGGCCCGCGCGCGCCAGCGTGGCCTCTGCTCTGCTGCTGTGGGAGGGCGTCTGCGGGACGGCAGGCCAGGGGACGGAGGGCGAGGATGGCGAGGAGGGGGAGGAGTGGAAGCAGCAGCGGGAGGACGAGTGACAGCGGTGCGATGATGTAGGATGGTGGGTGGCTGTGGATGCAGGATGACGACGATGACGATGGCGATGACGATGATGATGCTGATGATGACGAGGGTGATGAGGATGATGATGATGATGATGATGATGATGATGATGATGATGACGACGACGATGGTGATGACTACGACGATGACGATGAGGACAAGGATGTGGATGAGGATGAGGATGCGGACGATGTCGATGACGATGCTGCTGCTGCTGATGATGATGATGATGATGCTGATGCTGATGCTGTGATGATGCTGTGATGATGCTGAGGACGATGATGATGATGACGATGACGATGACGAGGATGACGACGACGATGACGATGACGATGATGATGCTAATGATGATGACGATTATGATGATGATGCTGATTATGATGATGCTGCTGATGCTGACGATGATGACGATGCTGCTGCTGATGATTGATCGATGATCGATGATCGATGACCGATGATGATGATGCTGATTATGATGATGCAGATGGCGAAAACGATGACGATGACGATGTCGATGCTGATGGTGATGATGATGATTGCAACGATGATGCTGCTGATGATGACGACGCTGACGATGCTGATGATGCTGATTATGATGATGCGGATGATGCTGCTGATGATGATGATGCGGATGCTGCTGATGATGATGATGATGGTGGTGATAGTGATGATGATGATGATGATGATGATGATGAGTATGATGATGATGATGATGATGATGATGATGATGATGATGATGATGATGATCATGATGATGATGTTTATGATGATGGCGACGATAGTGATGATGATGACGACGACGACGACGATGATGATGATGATGATGATGATGATGGGGATGATGATGATGATGGTGACGATAGTGATGACGGTGATGATGATATTGATGGTGGCGATAGTGATGATGATGATTGCAACGATGATGCTGCTGATGCTGAGGATGCTGACGATGCTGAGGATTCTGATTCTGATAATGAGGATGATGCTGCTGATGATGATAGGGATGATGATGATGATGATGATGATGATGATGATGATGATGATGATGATGATGATGATAGTGATGATGATGATGCTGATGATGATGCTGATGATGATGATGATGATGATGATGATGATGATGATGATGACGGTGATCTTGTGGTTTTCGTATGGTTTTCGTATGGTAATCTCATGGTTTTCGTATGGTAATCTAATGGTTTTCGTACGGTATTCGTATGTTTTGTTTTCGTATGGTAATCGTATGTTGTTGCGTATGGGCTTCGTACGGTAATCTCATGGTTCCCGTGTGGTGATGTGATGGTTTCCGCATGGCAGTCTTAAGGTTTCCGTGCGGTAATATTGCTGCGTTCGCATGGTTTTCGTATGGTTTTTGCATGGTGCTCTTCTTGTTTTCACATGGCGATCTTACGGTTTTCGTATGGTAATCTTATGGTTTTCGCATGGGTCCGTCTGGTAAGCTGATGGTTTTCGCATGGTTGCCGTAGGATAATCTTATGGTTTCCGTGTGGTAATCTGATGGTTTTCGCATGTTAATCACATTGTTTTCGGGTGGTAATCTTCTGGTTTTCGTTTTGGTAGCCGTATGGTTTTCGTAGGGCTTTCGTTCGGTAACCTAATGGTGTCCGCAGTGTTCCCGTATGGTTTTCGTATGGTAATCTTATGGTGGTCGTTTGGATTTCGTATGGTACTTTTATGCCGCATGGTAATGTAATTGTGTTCATATGGTAATTGTGCGGTTATCGAACGGTGTTCGCATGGTACTCTTATGGTTTTCGCAAGGTAATCGTATGCTTTTCGTAATTTAGTCGCCTGGCTGTCGAATGGTAATCTTGTGGTTCTCGTATAGTTTTCGTATGGTAATCTTATGGTTTTCGCACGGTATTCGTACGGTAAGGTTATGGTAATCTGATGGTTTCCGTATGTGAATCTCAGTGCGTTCGCATTGTATGCTTTTGGTTTTCGCATGGTAGCCGTATGGTTATTTTGCATGGTTTTCGTATGGCAGTGCTATGGCTTTCGTATGGTCACCTTATGGTTATGGTATTCGGATGGCGTTCTCAACGTTTTCGTATGCTTGTCGTATGGTTTTCGCATGGTGACATGATGCTTTCTCATGGAAATCTTATGGTGTACGCATGGTATCCTTTTGGGTTTCGCATGTTTTTGTTCTGTTTGCATGTATGGTTTTCGCATGGTAGTTTTTTTAAAAAATAGTTTTCGTATGGTCATCGCATGACAATCTTATGGTTTTCGTATGGTAATTTCATGGTTTTCGCATGGTGTTCTTATGGTTTCCGTACGGTGGTCTTATGGTTTTCGCGTGGTCACCGCATGGCTTTCGTATGGCTTCCGTATGGTCACCAACTGGTTTTCGTATGGTTTCCGCATGGCAATATCATGGTTTTCGTGTGGTTTTCGTCTGGCATTCTGATGGTTTTCGCATGGAAGTCTTATGGTTCTTGTGCGGCCGTCTTATCGTTTTCGTTTGGTGTTCGCATGGTAATTTGATGATTTTCGTATTATTTTCGCAGGTTAATCTGATGGTTTCGCATGGTAATCTTACGGTTTTGCATGGTAATCTTATGGTGTCCCTCGTGTGGGAATCGCATGGTAATATTATGGTTTTTGTTTAGGTTCCGCATGGTAATCTAATGGTTTTCGCACGGTTTTCGCATGGTACTATGGTTGTTTCGCATGGTAATCTAATGGTTATTGCATGGCGCTCGTATGGTAATCGCATGGTAATCTTATGGTTTTCGCATAGTAATCGTATGGCTTCCGCGTGGTAATCTGATGTCTTTCGCATGGTAATCGTATGGTCTTCGTATGGTAATCGTATGGTTTTTGCATGGTAATCGTGTGGCTTTCGCATGGTAATCGTATGGTTCGTGTATGGTAATCGTGCGGTTTTCGCATGGTAGCCGTGTGGTTTTCGCTTGGTAATCATATGGTTTTCGCATGATAACCGCATGGTATTCGCGTGACAATGGCGTATTTTTCGGGCGCGGCGGCTCTCCCCTCAGGATCCCCGCCACCTACCCTTCCTCTCTTCCAAGGAATAAATTTGGCAAACCGACTAGTCCGACCAGTTCTTCTCGGACGACCAGTTCACGATGAACATGTATTACAAATGTCAGGCCAGCAAGACCTGGGATTACCCCCGCGGCTGCAGGGCCGTCATCCGCGCGGGCCGCTGCGCGCAGTTCCTCACGCTTGAGGAAGAGGGGGCAGGCCGCCGTGGCCAGCGATGGTGCTGCCATTGCGGGGCCCGGCACCTGGCGACTTACGGCGCGATGCCGTGAAGCCCAGCCACCGATTGCGTGGCACTTGCAGGCCGACTTCCCCGAGGGGGACATCGGGGACCTGGAGGCCCTTCTGCGGGCGGACAAGCTCAAGATGGAGAACGTCGTGGCGCTCGATCCCACGGACCTCCTGCAGTACCTGCCCGAGGTGGAGCCCCTGGCGGTTGGCGCGGTGCCCAAGAAGTACGCGCCGGGGGCAAAACAGTGGGAGGGGCAGTGGGCGCTGATGAACAACCTCTCGTGGGGCGACCTGTCCGAATTTACGTGGTGCGACCTCTATGCGCAGGTGCCGCGGGGACTCGATGGCCCTGACTGGGCGGGCTACAGCAAAAAGACCAGGAACGGGAAGCAGCGCGAGAAGATCGCCGAGGCTGAGACCGCCGTGCTGAACTATGAGCAGCGCCGCAGGCTGGCCGTCGGCGGCCATGCTGGTGGGGGAAGCGCAGGGGCAGCCCCGAGTGCCCCCTCCGCTGGTGGGCCGAAGGCGGACCTGAGGATGGCTGCTGCAAGCCCGCCGCCGCCGCCCGCGCCAGCGGCGCTGACCAGCGCGGAGGTGCCGCCGCCGCCGCCTGTGGACCCGCCGCCAGACATCGAGTCCGAGCTGTCTGGCCCCCCGGTGGAGGGCAGTGAGCGGGGCGGGATGGTTCGCGCGCCCCCGTCCGATGTCCTCCCGGGCAAAACCGAGTGGCTCTGAAGCCCCAGGGCCTCAAGGCCCGATGTGAGTGAGTTGTTGCACGCCTGCCCAGGCTCTGCGCGCCACCTCGGCGCCGCGCCAATTTTAGTAATCGCCGTGGCGTACCAGCTCGTGACTGACTGAGGCTCTACCGTTGGCTCCCTTGTGTGCCCCCGCGCTACTCTTTGGTGCTAGGGCCGCCCCGGGGGCTGCGGGTTTTTGGCTTCGCGCCCGTGTTGCCCTCGGTACTTCAACTAAGTAACCGGCTTTTTTTGCTTGCCCCAGCATGTATCTCGCTGTTGGCTCTTGCCACCCGGGGCCTCCAGAGCTACCTGTAACCGCCTGGGGCTCTTGCCACCTGAGGCCGCCTGGGGATCTTGCCGCCTGGGGCCACCTGGGGCCTGTGGGCTCTTGCCACCTGCAGGCTCGTGCCACCTGGGGTCGGGCGGCGCTGGGGTGGCCCCGCGCGCTGCGCCCCCCGCGGTTGCTTTGGGCCAGGTCTGTCTTGGTGCGCCCTGGCTGCCGCGCTGCAGCTTCGTAAGTCCGCGGTGCGCGCTCCGCCTTGCGTTGCCCCCCGCTTGGCGCATGCTTCATTGTGGGGTGATGAGGCAGCCGCAGGACGCTCGCTTCAACGTGGTCGAGCCGTGGTGATGTGGTGCACGTGGTTGCAAGTGGTAGTCTTAGTAGTAGCAGTATCAGTAGTCGAAGTAGTAGTAGTAGTAGTAGTAGTAGTAGTCGTAGTAGTAGTAGTAGTAGTAGTAGTAGTAGTAGTAGTAGTAG